TTACAGGAAGTTTATTATTCATTTCAAATGCAGCTCTTCAATTTGATTAGTGTTGATCTATGACTCATTTCATAGATCAAATATTGTATCTCAATGAGCTGTTCTAATATTTGACATTTTCCAGTTTCTGAAATTACCTAATATCTCACATAATTTTTCACGTGGATTACATGATAGTTATAGGAAATGATTTTGTTTCCAGTAGCTGAGGTAGCTAGCTGTAGTAACTAGTAATTTAGGTATATGTGTAATACTATAAAAATTTCTTTATAAAGCAAATTCGAAATTAAAAAAGCACATGAGGGTCATAAAGTGAGCATCTACTAGTGTGACTGTGATTATGATCAGATTGAATTGGTGCTAAGTGAATGACTGGGAAACTAAAGATAAATAACAAAAGTTTCTTTTTAAAAATGTGTCATTAAGTTTCTTGGTACATGTAAGGTATACCTTATGATTGGGAATTTGTACCTGTACATGATAAATCTTGGTTCTTTTTTTCCCCATTCCCATTCCCTCAAATATGCGTCATCAGTTCAATCTGGAATGATAAACACTGCCACACTTGCATAGTTTCTATGACTCTTACCATAGTCGAATGCTTAAAACAATCTATAAAAAAATAACAGTGACAACTACAGTACTTTTTTATGACAGAAAAGTGATGATTCAGGTAGAGTTAAGCAATGTGTTTATATTTTACAGGTGATTAGGTAGGAATATAAATAGCCTATATTTCTAGAGATTCTTAACAGAATATTTAAGCTTTAGTGCTTATATTCTCATAAGATTACATTCTTATAAATGAAATAGATAGTCATTATGTATGTGAAAAATTAAGAGACCCATACAGCTTGGAAAATGACTTAATTTCTGAACAATATATAAGATTTGAGATAGCATATCATTTCCAGATTAATAATAGTATCAAATAGACTAGATGTTACACTAGTTCAACTAGTTCAAGTGGTATTTAGTAGTGGTACACTAGTTCAAGTGGTATTTAGCATACATGGTAGGGCAAAGAAAACTTGCTCAGATCAATAGCCAGACTTTATTTATCTTGCTTTTTAATGCAATGAATCACATATTAACATACCTGACACTGAAGGGTTTTTATATGGGTAAAGACACTGGTTTTCAGATATTTCCAAGTAAATCAGGGAAGGCTGTATAGTCTCCTCTCATAAGTATTCCCAACCTCTCACCTTTGATTACAGTTACTCACATTGTCAGTTTCTTCTAAATATTTTTTCTTTTAGTTATGCTTTTGAAAAAAAACTACAGTTCATTAAAAGAAATGCACAATAAAGGGTTTTAAAAGCAAAGAATTAAAAAATGGATTGAAGATCATTTTTGAGAAAGAAAATATAAAGTGAAAGGAAAGGTAAAAGAGTTATGGAAGTTTAAATAAATTAGTTAACTGAATTGGAGGAAAAGTTGAAAGTTTAAATTTATAGAAACTATATCAATACGTAAGTAAAGAAGCTATAAGGGAAAGCTGTTAAAATAGTATATGCTTCTCTTACTTATATATACATTTTGTAAATTTCCTAAAGTACATATTAAAACATATTTTATATCAGCAAGATCTGCAGAAAGAAAGTGAGAATATTTAATAAATTTCGCACTCTCAGCAGTGTTAGCACTGTAGTTGAGACACGGTAGCCTTGTCCGAAGAATAATATTTAAGTGTCATGCAAACAAGGAACTTACAGATGCCGCTGCAGACAAGCAGCCACCCGGTTCCACATTACAAAGGCACAGAGGACACCAGACCACCAGACCAAGTTACCGAGTCCCGCTGTTCCCGGAGCAGAGGTAGAGGCTTCTGAGCCGTCGTCCCACTGCTCCTGGTCCAGAGGAAGGGGCTTCCTGGTCACCATCCTTCCCGCTGCTGCCAGCCCAGAGGAAAGGGCTTTTGGGTCACCATCCCTAGTGCTGCTCCTGGCCCAGAGGAAGGGGCTTCCAGGCCACCATCCCTCCCATGATTCCTGGCCCAGAGGGAGGGGCTTCTGAGCCACCATCCCACTGCTCCTGGTCCAGAGGAAGGGGTTT